TGTGTTTGTAGAGTGAGGGATTGCGCTTTGTGCGCGTGGAAGCTAGGCTTGTCATGTAATGCACGTGTGCATGTTAGGACAAGCAGCAGCTGGAGATCGCGTGTGTTTAATTGTTTGCGTGTGTAGCCGCTACAGTTCGAGAACGAAAGGTGCAGGAAGGGGGTTTGCCAAGCACCCACCTCTCCCACCCTGCGAAGACGCGCTGTTCGGTGAGAGGTCCCAAGGGCCTCGATCCGTCAGTGCTGAATGCACCGAGCAGCAGATGGGACGAGGCAAAACTGTCGGCTCTGCGTTTGCTCTGGCACTTGTGTTTGTAGAGTGAGGGATTGCGTTTTGTGCGCGTGGAAGCTAGGCTTGTCTTTGTAAAGCAAAAGACTTTCAAGATTATCTGTGATGACCGCACTGTACTTCGAACGGTTCGAACCGGTCTTTTGTGCCAAGCAGCTGAACGTGACCATTCAGAACCTGCAGTGCGGCAGTGGCATTATGTGAAGCCAGCTGAAGAAACATGCATTTTAGGATGTTGTAGGAAAAGCGCCTCAAACAGCTATGCCAAGGCAGCAGGCATGACCATTTGGTAGTCAAAGTCTCCCACGCATCCATGCAGCAGCTCTCTAATTTTTTGCGGGCAGCGCTCATTAGGATTGCGTGTCTGGGGCCGGGGTTCGGCATGCAACGTGCAATAGCATGGGCAGCAGCATGGGTTGCCTCAGAAAGCCTGGCAAGCTTGGCGTTCTCGACGGCTTACGTTTGGAGCAAGACGATCCTCTCTGACAAAGATTGCGCTCGCCTGATCTCTCTCGCGCATGCGCAGGGGTTGAGGCCTTCGTTTTCAAAGGAGCGCGCGTTGCAATCACTTCTTTTTCACGCCAGGCGGACATTTGGCCTACATGACTTTGATGTCGATGGATCAGGAGATCTCAATATTTGGGAGGTTACTGCTGCTGCACAAACCCTGTTAAATGCACCACTGTTTTCTGCCCAAGATGCCAAAGCCTGGGTTCTGGCGAGCACTGGCAAGGTGAACCTATCGCTTTCTTGGCCGGCTGAGGAGCACCTGAAATCCCTGCTTTCCAGCAGTGGAGAGGTATTTGCTCGAATCCTGGCGCACCATCCCGAGAAACTAACCCGACACTCCTTCCAAGCTCCACTCTTGTGGGAGCAAGCCAGATCACTTTCAGTGCAACTTGGTACAGTCGCGGAAGAGCTGGTGGGCAGAAGCTTGTGGAACGAACTGCACTTGGAGGCTGAGCCGGTACAGGTCATCAGCTACCCAAAGAATGGCCACTACGCACTTCATTCCGATGCCTGCGCACAAGTTTGCCGTGTAGAACCAACTGTTTTGTTAGTTGTGATTTTCTGGCATGTGAACTTGCGGGAGATTCGAGCCGCCTGTACCAAAATCGGAAGCTGGTACTGTTGACTGTGGTTCTGAAGATGTTAAGGACAGTGGCTGGCCTGGACACCGCCCACTCTCTTTTCTGCTTTATCTCCAACCTCCCAAAGCTGGAGGTGAGACATGCCTGCTGCAACTCAGCTGAATGAATCACACCACTGCAGTGCCCTCACCCAGGGCTTGGCATAATTTCTGCAAGGCCCGCAAACTGGAACTTCAGCACGCGTCGATGGTCTGCAGGACAGTTGTGTCGTTCTGAGGGCCGACTTGTGAGTGTCCTGGGCGACCCTTGCTTGTCAGGGCAATATCGAAGAGACTGTGCCAAATTGCTTCTTTCCGCTACGATGATGCAAGATGTTTTGGCGGCTGCTTCAGAAGCTTCAATGTTTTGGGCTCAGACCCCAATCCTGCGTGCAGTTGCTCAGGTTGGAGCGCTCTGCTTCCATCCAGCTGCTGGCCGAGTTTTGGCTTGGAGGAATGATTGGAAACAGGCCTGTTGCTCCTCAGTAGCGCCAACGCATCTGCATGATTGGCACGGGTCGGGCGGATTGGAGGTTGCATGATTCCTCAAAGGATGGTTCCACGGAAGTGCCGGGGGCACATGTCGCTTGCCCGGTCTTGGAAGGCAACTTGGGATAGCTTGGCAATCCTGCAGTCGAGTTTATGTTTGACATGCACCTACAACCGCTGGGTTCATACAAGGTGAGAAATGGGTGGCAAGTGCATGGGCTAGTCATATATGCGCCGCAGATACAGTATGCCAGCCTGGTGTTGGGCAATGATATCCTTTGCGAGTTGGTTTTGGCCCCGCCTTGCATACATTGCGAATATCCGTTTGGATGCCTTGAGGGCAAATGCTCAGGCACCGCCAGTCAATACAGGCAGCTATCCAGCAGGCAGCAAAGTTGCGCCGCATGAAAGCTTGGAGTCGCGGAGGGTGATGCACTGATCTAGGAAGGCCCCATTGGGGCTGACCTTTGCGGGTCGTGGTCCCAAACGCTGCCTTTTGAGTTCCCTGCAGCGGGCATGAGTCGAGTGTGCCCTCGCTGTTGCACATCGCGCTTTGAGCACGGCAGACATGTGCATTAGGTGGAAGGAAAGATTTCCTGGTGTTGAGCACGGCCTGGCAACAACTGTCAGCCTGACCTGGATGAAAACGCGTGTGCATCTAAATTTGGTCAGCTCTGGCCCTTTACATCAGTCAGCAGCGGCAACAAGCATGCTGAGGCACGGTCACGCCTGAAGAGGGCTTGCTTTGAATGAGGGAGCGCGAACTTTCAGGGGACACGCAAAGCAGAAAACAAGGGACGCTCTGGGCTGCTGCTCCTTCAATACGAAAAGTTTGAAGATTATCAGACAACACTGCAATTGGTGCGCTCTCAATATTGGAAACGTATGGAAACGGATGCCCGCTGTTTTCCATCCGGTTCTCGACATTGGCCTGTGTGACACAGCAATTTACAGCACACGAGGCGTTTGACCTAAGCCTTCGTAATTGTGAAGGCTCTACCCTATCTCACCCACGTGAAGATTCGCCGGTACGGACATGGGCTTCCATGTGGTCTTTGCATCCGCACCTCTACCACCTGCCACATAATGATGACGGGCATTTGTTGTCCGTCATCGTCCCTAGGAACAGGAGATTCGAAGAAAGGAGCCCCCAGAGAAATTTGCCCATTCGTTTTACGTGTTACGGTTTCACAACCCCTCCTGCTTCCGAGGGATTTGGGTCGGAGCCCCCGGAATTTGGCATGCCCAGCTCATGTCATTTGCTCTAGTGCTAGCCGCGAATGCCAGAAGGGCCTTCACAGATTTGAGCACGATTCTGCTTCCACATTTTGGCAAGAGGACCCATTTTTGGGGCGGATGCCTATAAGACTATTTCCTTCGAGCATCCCCACCCTACAGTCGTTATGGCACAAGTAAATGTAATTTTTCCTTGCCGCCCTAAACTGTCTTCCTTGCAGGATTGCTTGCAAAAGCACTGCAAGAATATCGCAGTTTGGCACTGCAGGGGCAAGTGCTATGGGGTTCGGCGTTGCAAAGGCTGGGCACGACAAGGACACTTTGCCATTGAGCACTGCAGAGATACTGTGGGTTCGGGCACTGCAGGGATACACTCCGGTTGGGCTCTGCAGGAATACTCTGCAGTTGCTCTTGGTCACTGCAGGGAGACTCTGCGGTTGGTCACCGCAGGGATACTTGGTGGTTGGGCGCTGCAGAGATACTCATCGGTTGGGCGCTGCAGTTGGGCAGTGCGTGGAGACTTTGCGGTTGGGCGCTGCATGGATACTTCGTGGTTGGGCACCGCAGGGATACTCAGCGGTTGGGCAGTGCAGGGACATTTGGTGGTTCGGCACTGCAGGGATACTCAGCGGTTGGGCGCTGCAGGGATACTCTGCGGTTGGGCACTGCAGGCATGGTTGGTGGTTGGGCAAGGCAGGGATACTTCGTGGTTGGGCGCTGCAGGGATACTTCGTGGTTGCATGCACGGGTACTCAGCGGTTCGGCGCTGCAGGGATACTCTGCGGCTGGGCGCTGCATGGATACTTGGTGGTTGGGCGCTGCAAGGATACTTGGTGGTTGGGCACTGCAAGGATACTCTGCAGTTGGGCACTTCGGGGATAATCTGCTGTTGGGCACTGCAGGGCCAAAAAGGTGGTTTGGCACTGCAGGGATACTCAGCGGTTGGGTGGGCACTGCAGGGATATGTTGCCATTGAGCATTGCAGTCAGGCTCCGCGCGGAGGGCGGGGACAACATCGATAGTATAACAATCAAGTAAATTACAATCAAGAAGTTTTAAGTTTTATGCTCGGATCAGCAAGAAAGTCAATGATAATTAACGAATATTCCATGAGCCAAATTTGTCCTGCAGCCCGTGTCCTGCTCCCACAACGGCCTTGTCTCCGGTCTTTCCTTGCCTACTGTTGTGCCACTCCTTTCTCGACACATTCCCGCGTAGATCCTCCTTACTCTCCGAGTTGCGTTTGGTAGACGTGGTTCTAGATCTACTTTTACTGAAGCTGCATTCCACTACGTTGCATTATGTTGCATTCCAGCAAAGCCACACGCCAGACACTGCCCGTTTCATACAGCCTTGAACGACGGTGGCCCAGATTGAGAGTACTTTCCTCCACGCAAAAGCTTTGCAAAGCTTGCGCATGGGCAATTGCAAAGCTAGAAGGGATTTCAGGCAGAAGCGGAATGCTGACAAATGTCTTCGGACGGATGCCTTGAAGAGATATGCTACCTTTGTTGACATGGAGGGTGTATACATCTTTTTTTCCCCCTGTTTTGGTGTTTCTCGAAATCACTGGCACATGGTTCCGCCGCGTCTGCTAATCTCAGAAAGGTAGGGCAGCATTCGTTCGTTTTTCCGTGCCATGCGATGCCTGGTGGACCTGGGCTCACCGCTGCCGATCACATCCTCTGGGCACAGAGGACTCTTGCCTCTTCCCACCTCCGAGAAGCCCGCATGACTCATTGCAGTGGACAGGATACAGAAAGAGGAAATAAATGCCAAGTCGCGGCCAGATGCATTCTCTGTACGAGCTGCAGTGAGCGTGGGGGACTCAGCTGCGAAAACATGAGGACTTCCGATTCCTACTCAAAATTATAGAGCACGTTGAGGGACAAGCGCTGTTGCAAAAGACATGCAGTCTGTTCAGCGCCGTGAGTTACAACGCTGTCTAAGAAGATTTGAAGAGGTTGCCGGGGGGACCTAGGATTCATGAATCGCAGGCGGGAGGGTTCTCAGTTGTGTCAGGGGCTTTTATCGCCGGAACGAGGGGGGTGGAATGAGTTTGAGGACCTTCTGAAGCTACCACCTGTCCCCATCTGCGCGCGGGAGGAAAAAGCTAAGGTTGGAAGGGATTATGCCTTCGGATCTAGTCCGGCTGGGGTAAGCTATGCGAATGCAACGTGTGCGGTCAAGATCAGTTGAGTGCGTGAGAGTATGGGTGGGGATTGGCAGGCGCGGCCTCGTTTTCCAGGTGGCATGTGGAGGAGTGTTCTGAAACCTCACGGTTTAAGGCGGGTTGACAGTGTAGGGGCATACTACACAGGCTCCCAAGCTTGTTTCCATGGCGCGCAAGCACTGCGAACGCTCGTCGAAAGGTTTTGCATGCATGCTGAACATAGGCTGAAGCTTCGCAAACGTACTGCGAGTTGATGAGCCTACCAAGGCAAAAAGGCCTTGAGGTCTCTGGCAGACAAGCTTAATGTTGGAATTTGGAGAAGAAGGCCTGCTTTGGAACACGGGGACAACGTTTGCCCGTGATGAAAGTGGCAGCAACTAGAATGCCACCATGCTCATGAAAGACCGCGAAAGCTCCACACAGGGTGTGGTCGCTGATAGGTTTGCAGCAAAAAGAATACAGAGCCGCCCCCAGTTGTTGTGTTCGCGGACAGCTGCAAGCTTCCAATGTTGAACGCCAACTTGGCGTTGCTGTGCGTGTTTCACGTCGCAGTAGAGGCGTGGTCATTGGAAAGTCTGCGCTGCACAGCACACCTTTTGTTTTTAGGCCGATCAATTAAGTCAGGCCGAGCAAATGAGGGTCTTGACTCGTGCGAGTAACATCCTGGGAGATCCTGCCGCTCTCCAGCTTGAACAAAGCACGAAAGACCAATCAAGATTGCAACAGGTTGCGATCTGTTTGAGCGCAGTTCTGGCAGCTTTGGTTCCAAGGTACCAGGGGTGCCTACAAAGTTCAAGCCTGGGCCTTTCACATGAAACCGCATGTAAGGGATACTGCCGTAAATCACTTGGAGGCCGGGTCATATGGATCCACGAGAAGCCTCAGGCCGCATGCCTTCCGCACGGAATTGTTTGGAAACATGATCAATCGTGCAAGCTTGATGAGTCCGGTCCTGCTTGGGAGAGGCTCTGGCTTCAGCCCTGCAGCCTTGGGTCATGGCCCCGTTTGCACTTTGAGCAGGAAGCCAACATTTCAGCCGTCAGGTTGGGATCCAGCGAGTACTATGACAACTGAATTCCGACGGTGCATGAATCAGCAGAGCGACCAGACCTGAGTCGCCACATGTTCATGCGCACGCTCGCAGTGGCTTTCGACAATGCGTCTTGGTATGAACACGAATCCGTTGAACATGCAAGCTCGGCCTTCTGCCTCTGCTGCCAAACAAAAGGATGTGCTCTTCGGTTCCATCTGGTTCCCATAGTTGTGGTCAACCAAGAGGCCACAACTGCAGCCTGCCGCAAACTCTCCAGCCACAGCACAAGTCCTCACAACATCTTCCCTTGTGTGAATGCGCGTTGGCACAACGAGCTCTCCGCTGGCACCAGGCCCCATGATCTCCATTGGCTGCAACAAGAAGATGATTGGTTTGTTTCTGTCGGGTGGAAATGCTGCAATTGAGGCTGGTCCACGCGAGCGGCATCTGCCGTTGACACGGACTGATGTGTTAAGAGAACATTCGCAGCATGACCCATGCTTGATGACATTGGCAAGCTCCGAGTGCGACTTAGCGGGCTGTTGGCCAGTACCAAGGTTCCCCGAGACATCCCAGCAAGAAATCGGATGGATTCAGGCAAGGACAGCCCTTGGCCCTTGGCTTTGCTTGGCTTTGCTTGGCTTATCTTGGAAGGGCAACTGCGGGAAGCCAGCACAAAGAAGCGCACCTGCAGGCAGCGAGCGGGTGACCCAAAAGCCATCTAGTTTTTGGACTGCTTATTGGTGCTCATGGTTTCTGACTGAGGCCAACCCGTTTGGGCGTCGGCTGGTTGATGAAGGACCAGCACCTGCGGATTAGCACTGCATGATGATCTTGCTGCCTCCACTTCATCGTCAAAAGAAACGACTTCACTCCTCATGATGGGTATACACATTACAAATGGAACGCCTCCCCACTAGCTAAAATTCTCAGAATTTTAGCTAGTGGGGAGGCTGTTCCACTTGTAATGTGTATACCCACTGAACCCCACTGAGTTGTACATCACAAAAACTGATTTCGGGGGGGCTGGAGGGGTGGGGGTTGAACAGGATGAGGCCATGGTCCGCTTTTTTGGAGGAGGAGTAGTAGTAGTAGTAGTAGTAGTAGTAGTAGTAGGTCCCCGGCGGGGAAAAAACCCCCCAAGAAACCAAAACACAATGATATCATACAATGGTATCAGAAGGTTTCCCCACTGGGCACCAATA